GTGGTTTGGAAAGCATCACTCTGTGGCTACAAGTTGAGATCCAATTAAAGGTATATTTATATATAATGTTATGGTCCAATTGCCCTAGCCACCAACAAGAGACATATGAACCAAGACCCCTTAATTCCAACCCCAAGTATTGGAACCTTGGATATCTGGTTGGGGCTGGCCTACAGTGATTATTACTTATGTACAATTCCACCCTTGATACAGGAACTGAGTTCAGGGTGAAGAGTTTACCTATTCTGGATGTAGTGTGGTTCCCCCACTTGGGTACCGTTCTTATCTTGGTACACCCATGATCTATGCAGATGCTTTCTGTATGGATAATGCCTTCATCAGCCCCTTCACCTTCTCAATGTGGGATGCTAGCTATAAGTGGCAGTGGAGGTAAATATGTTTTGGAAGTTAACATTTTCCTAAGTTGAAAATGTATTTCCAATAATACTTACCTCTGTTGACACTTTCCCACCCTTCCTTCACACTGAGAGCCGGTGTTAGAGATTGTGATGGCATCAACCTCGAATGAGGTGCTTATATACAGTGCCAGGATAGAGGGTGCATTGATGTAGGTGGAGAGTATCGCCAAGGACAATTTAGTAGGATATAAAAAACTGGAGCAAACAAGAAAAAATCAGAGTAATGCTTAGATGGCCAAAGAAGAAACCCTGATGGTCGAGTAATAGCTCTAAGTGTCAGTAGAGGTAAGTTTTATTGGAAATACATTTTCAATTTAGGAAAATGTTAACTTTGCTTACTTGCAACATCTACAATGGACTGCACATTCACTGGATTCTTGCTTGGGATCACTTGTCCTCAATCATTCTTCTATTTTATTCAATGACTTCACCTAGTAACTTAATAATACTACTTCCATAGTGGGTGTTTCTCTTCCTCTTGTCCAGGTCTCCTTCTATTTCCAAATGCCTCTTTGATGAGTTGGGGGGGTATGTCTCGACTCTCACGTGAATATCTGGTCATTGGTACCATGACTTATTGTCCTTTCAATTTCATCTTAGAACTTTTGGTTGTGCATCAAATTTTGATTTGTTTTTTTAGAGATGGTTTGTGAATGTTTCTTGATGATTCATGCAGTCATCTATACAGTTGCTTCATTTATCAACCACCAGGGGAACACTTTGTTTCACTCTCTCTGTTTCCAAACTATCAACCTCTTTTTCCTGGCCCATTCTATACAAGTATGTTTAATAGCTTGTTCTATTCCAGGTGCCCTGAATCTTGTTGTGGGTCATCTTTCGAGACCTGTTAAGATATTACCTATAGATTCGTCCCTCAATCCTCTGGTGTTCAAGTTGCTATGCTCTCATCTGGATGCTCCCCAGTGGCACAGCGGTATGTCTGCAGACTTACAATGCTAGAATCTGGGTTTCGATACCCGTGGTGGGCAGAGCACAGATAGCCCGTTGTGTAGCTTTGTGCTTAAATTACAAATGAATAAATAAAATAAATATGCATCTGGACACTTATTCTAGAAATTTTTGCCACCCTTCTCAACACCTGCTTCCCCTCTTCTGCATCCCTGTTCCTCTTCCCTCAGCTTTAGCTGGGGATGCATTCAGTCAGGAATGGTCCAATTTTATCTCCTACTCCACTTCTTGCACATGTCTTTCCTCTTTTTTTGAACACACCATGTTGAGTCCTGATAACTCTATACTGGCTGGCTAAGCCCTGGTTTCCTCTGTTGCACCTTCTCCTGTTCTTTCCTCTCCTTCCCTTCCTTTACCTCTGGCACTCTCTCTACTTCTTCAACTTTACTCCTCACTCTCCAATCCAGCAGTGTCATCACTCTGACTTCATGTGTGGATTTTGTCCAGTCTCTTGCAAGACATTTTAGACTCTCTGTAGGTGTAGCCTTGCTTCTTCTTTGTTTAGCTCATTCTTCCTCCATCCTTGTTAATCCATGACAAAGGCTCACATACAGTAGTTGGTCACTGAGTCATGTTTTATTCAATCCCCTTCCTTCTATCCCCCCAATCTTTTCAAATTTTTTTGTTGGCTGTTCAAAAGAGGTTTATTGCTTTTGACCAAGGCTGGTTACTGGGCAGCTTTACCTAATACTTTCAGGTTTTCACATTATCATCATGTATTCTCTTCTGTCTCTTTTTTGTCCTTTTTGCCACCTTCTTTCTCCTCGTCTTGTAATCCTTCAAGATTGAGACCTGAATACTGTTCTCCACACCATTACCCTTCCTCTCTTTGACCCTTTTGTCTCTTGTACCTTGTACCATCTTTTGCTTAGGTTCTACTTCTTACTTTTTACCTGTGGACATAGGAGATATGATGTGCATGCCATTGCTTTTTCCTGTATTTTTAGCTGTGGCATAGCAGCTCATAGAATGGCTCTGAGTTTTTTTCAAGTACAAACTTTTTGCTCATAGCTCCATCTCTTGATCAATTTGAGATCTAATTACAGCCGTGGCTATTGAGGATTTCCTGTTGTTTTTCTCCCATTTCACACCTTTATTCTTGTTCTGTTCCAATTCATTTTCTCTGCTCTATCCACATGGTTTGTTGTTATTTGTTCTGTTTTGCTCCTTTGCAACGTTCATGTTTCCATCTATTTATTCTTTGGAATTCCCCATCTCCTTGAGATATTTCTCCTTTTACTTTCAAGGAATGGCTACAGCAACTCGTCCATTTAACCTATGCTTCATTGGATGTAGATTCATGTCAACTCTTTCAAGTGTGACACCTTACTCTCTCCCTGGCTCTTCACTTCCATCATTTGTTGGAAGAGTTTGTGCAGGCTGGCATGTGGACTACCCTACATACTTTCTTAGCACATTTTTTTTCATCTTTTGTCCACCTCCTCTTCTTCCGGATATCAATTTCCTCCTGTCACCATTCTACATACCCCTTACCGGTTCTGAATGGGTAAGTTTTCTTTTTATATATCTTACCTTTACAGTGGCCTATTTCTACATTTGTGGATCCTGCTCAGTAATGAATGGAGCCTGTCCAGATATACTTAACTTTAAATCCACATCATATGTCCTTTAAAGGTCTATAATGCTCACTGATGAGATGGTGTGTTTCACAAGACTGCTTGAGGGTTCCTTGCAGTATATTGCTTCATAAATAAGGTATATTCCAGATCATACCAACTCATGGACTATCACAAGTAAAGCAGTGTTTGGATTGCTGCCCATCCCTCTGGTCCTAGTTGAATAAACCTGGACTAGCCTGCTATTCAAAATAAGGTTTTCATGGTCATCCATTACACAGTCTTATGGTGTTACCTTTCTCCATTTCTTTGGATTCACCATTGCATTGTTTTCCACCCTCTTCTAGTGGAGTATGGGAGCCCTTGTTATTTCCTAGCCACTGGTGTGGTAGACCATGGATGCCATCTCCTGAGTGTGACCACTTCCACTCAGTCAAGAGTAGAGTAGTTGTGTTCTGTTGGTGTACATGGTGAGTACTCTCCTTCTACTGCAGACCAGAAGACAAATACCTGATGCCACCTAGTTTTAAACAATTCATTTCTCTGGTTGGCTTTCTCCGACCCTACTGCCTCCTGGAGGTTGGTTCCTGGGTGGTCTGGTGTCGGATTGGCATAGAACACGTGGTTGGTAGAGGCTCTCTTCCTACTATGGACCTGACAAAAATTTCGTGATACTACCTGGTTTTGGATCAGAGTTGACCAAGCCTCTTCTTACTGTTGTCCTGATGTTGGGTTTCTGAGTGGCCTGGTGTTGTTTGTGTACTGGGTCTACACACATGTGCCCTGCCTGAATCGGGAAGTTGCTTTTCTCTTCTGTTTCTTAATCTTAAGGTGAATATGGGTGGGACTCTCCTTTTACCATGGACTGGAAAACACATTCCTGATGCTGCCTAGTTTTGGACTGGAGTTGACCCTCTGAATACAGTCTAGCCACTCTACACCATCTGGCAAATCCATTTGCTGATTAGACTTGTGTCTTTTTTGCCCAGATTAGCCACTCATATCTTTACAGCACTCAAATTTGTACCCTGGTACAGATGTAGTGCAATCTCCCATAAATGTGACTATATATATAAAGGTATCACACTCCATGAGTTCTCTTCAGATGCCTTCCAAAGAGTGTTCATCTAGGTAACTTTTGTACTGGTTCTTTTACCATTTCAATGTTCAATTATAGCTATTATATGAGCATAGGTAGTGTATCATATCGGAAGTTAACATTTTCCAACACTGAAAATGTATTTCCGATACACACTTTCCACCCATCCTTCCCACTTTTGGTGCATCTTTTCTTTGCCTTATCTCAAAGTGATGATTGTTTTCTATAGTATAGATTGAGTCAGCTGCACTAGGATGGTGTGTCACACTCCTATTGGTGGGGGGTTGTTGCATGCTCATTTGCATGCTACAACACAGCTATACCATATGTAAACACGATGTTAAGTGGGAACTTCAAGGCTAGTGGTGAGAAAAAATTGCACATATAGAGGACAGCACAAATCATGTAAAGCTATTATGTGAGAAGAGGTAAGTATCTATCAGAAATACATATTCAGCATTGTTATTGTTTACTCATAGATAGCTTAGAACATCTACCCATAAGAATCATTGGGCCAATTTAGTATTTATCATTTTTGTGACTAAAATTTCATTTATAAATTAAAAGGATTAACATAGTAAATACAGCACAAGATATTTCCAAATAAAAAGCCAAAATATTTTTAAGGACAACATATTGTGTCAGGTACTACAAACATCTGCTTTCAAGTGGAATATATCATTCAATTCAGTGATACTTTGTTAGTTCATTTTGTACATATATTGTTAATCATGATATTTCTTAATTGATATAATTGCATCATAGTAACGAATGTTCTATCCATTTGTCAGTCAATTTTATGGCAATATCCATTTTTTTAGTGGAAATCAAGATTGAAGTGTAAAAGTCATTCTTCTAACCACTAAAATCTTTAGTGAATATTGACAGAAAGCTAATCAGTTCACAATATCAAAATATTTGTTTCTTTGTTTTCAGTTGAACATGGTGAAAGGTCTACCAGCGCTAATAAATGTTCTGAAAATGATTAATGCAATATCATGCTACTATAATTCATCTGAGTGTATGACTGCCATCTTTACTAAGGTAATTAGAAAACTTTGATTGAGCAGGTGTCCTAAGCTTTTAGTTTTCAAAATGTGAAGGAAGGTGATAATTTAAAACTTTTTATTTAACATATTTTCATTGGACCTAAATTTGGAACTTGTGAAAATGGTTCAGCAGTTGCAAATTTTCATGAGTGGATATCTTGGCCATAATTTTATTGTAAACCTACAGTAGATTTAATCTTGTTTTAATGATATTAAGAAATAAATCCATTGACTGACATTTCTTCATAAATCTTATTCAGAAGATTATTTTAGGCTTTACTCATGTTGTTTCACTTAAGCTCTATGACCAAATTTTTATGTATAGTTTTGGGAATAATTATGGAAATGCATAGGTAATACATTAATCACAAACAATATTTAATGGCAACTAAATGGTTAATTTATCTTATGTGCGATTCATTATTGCATGAAATACAAAAGAAAAGCAAATAAGTTATACAATGCACTAGTATTTTGTATTTACTTTAAACAGAGCTGCACATCTTGTTTTTATGCTACTGCAAGTTTAAAAATTTATGACTATGAAATATTGTTCCAAATATCCTGTATTACTGCTCACAATTCAGCCAATCAACCAATATATTTTGTTGCCATTTGAGCTACTCAGTTTCCATATAAATTCATACAGTATTAATAATATTTGTAATATAACTTTACACAGGCCAATCCATGGTTGCAAGTGTTCTATCAACCACTTTTTCCTTCCACACATTTGCTCCATGCTTGAGATCACTGTCTTGCTGGAAGATGAATTCCTGCACAACAAGTCTTGTTCATGAGGGAATGACATAATGGGTAAAAATCTGTTTGAATCTGTCAGTAGTCAGGAGACTTTCAATTTTGTGCAGGTCTTTAACACCAATGGCTGATGTACAGCCTATATTTGTATTAGTTCCTAGCATGCTTACTGTAGATATTGTAAATTGACTGTGATACTGCTCTCTCTTTTTCTGTCATCAAGGAAACTTTGCTCATTCCATTGTTTGAAGTCTGATGCCCATTTCAACCTTTTGGTTTGGTTATCTCTCCCATGCAATGGTTTTTGAGAAGCTACACATCCATTGTGACCACTTCATGCATGTGCATTCTACTCTTCAGGAGGTAACATTCACATGTGCACACACACAGCTATGTAATGGCATAATTTCACTGGTTTGTCATTCATAACAGCCAGTCACAGTGTAATCTGTACTCTGATGCAGCTCATATTCATACAAAAGAAGAGAAGCAACTTAAACTTAAGTTTAAACTTAACCTTTATAACACACTCTATAAATCACAGTGATTCATACACTTTACTTACGGTGTCTACTGTTCGCTTGACTCAATTATCTATCTCTTCAATCTATCTATCTCTGCAATTGCATTGGTTTTTCTCACCAGGCTTATATACTAAAACAGAGGGTGCCTCGAACAAACTTGGGCCTTCTCGATAATTCATGATCCTTTGAGAAACCCCAGCGCGCATGCTCCCAGCATCATGTGACTTCCACTGAAGTAACAGTATCATGAAACTATTATTTTTTTATAAGCTGGTAGCATATTTATCTAATGTGTTCCTTTACTTTCTATTTTATACAAGACATTTTAAAAGTTTCTTGCTCCAAAAAGGTCAGAGATTGTTACTTTATGATTAACAATAACAAAAATTATGCTATAAATAAATTGTAAAGTAAATGTTTTATGGTATTTGTTTATTTTATATAACACTTCAATTCTTCATTTTTGCCATTTTTTCCATTAGCTAAGAGATTTTTAGAACATCAGTGCATGAGTATGATCAGCTAAGCATTCTTGATAATTAGTTAATTTAATATGCCTTTTCAACCTGTAACTTTTATAATTATTTTTCTTCCATTAGATTACTAATCAGATGATCAAGGCTTGCCGTTTATATATCTCAGAAAAAGGAAAAGAAAGTGTCTGGACTCAGTCTCAAAATGTCATCCTAAAAAAGCTGGAGAATTGTATCAAGCTAAACACTGAATATCAAGCCTGCTTTAAGCGTATCAAAGACAAGATGGCTGAAATACCTGAAGAAAAGCAATTTCGATTCAGTGAAGTTTTTGTTTTTGGAAAATTTAATGCATTCTGTAATCGTCTCCTGAAGATTAAGAAGTTGCTAAACACTATCACACAATATAAAAGGTTGTTGTCTTCTCGATTAGAAGGTCAGTTCACATTAATCATTCTTTTATGCATACATATATCATAACAATGAATATAATTAAAATTAGGTAGAATAACCTCTGAAATGCTGAAAGCCTTTTCTTGTTGAGTTTGAATTCATGCTATCAACAAAATGTGGAATTCAAATGTCTTTCATTTGTTGTGGAGCAAGCTTCACATTATTTGCGGCACAAGCATCAGGGGATCTTATTAAACTCTGCTCTTCATGTCACAATTTGAATATTTTTTATTGACCAATGTGATATACTTATTGACCATTGTATTGTTAAGTTTGCTATAATGTTCTTACACATTCAACTATTTCTGCCACTGTCAGAATGTCTACGACTTAGTTGAAGACCTTACTTACGCAATCTGCATGTAGCATGCAAGGAAAACTTGTAGATGTATTGCCAACTATGATTGTTCAATGTATTCATCCCATTGTGTACTGATATTCCTTATAGGTATCATAATCATGTGGATAATTAATTTTTGTAACACTCAACTTTTTCTTTTGTCTTCATCAAGGTTTTTATGTATGACAAATGGAGATTTAAAAGATGTTTATTTATTGTCCTAATTCTAATCCATTTTTTTGTTTTTGCAAATTGTGAGGTGGTTTATCAGTTTATGAACATTCCTTCTTTTGTTCTGGCTTATGAATCCTACATCTTAACATGTGAAGAGAACTGCTGGTTTTCTACACACACCCAGTAACGATTATCATCATTACATAGATGATTAGAGGATTCTCACTCAGTAATTGTCTCACACTGAATTGACCTCCCAGTTAGCTTCTTCTTTGTGATAGATTGTTCATGAGTCAAAGTCTCATTTTGTGCCCACTCAATATCTCGTTCATCTGGAATTTTGTATTAATACTTTTTCCGGAGGTTTTTACCCATCACCTTTGGCTTTGCAATCTTTCAAGTTTTGGGTGAGTATATTTATCCACCTGCCAAGAACATCCTTTCTGTTTTGGGAATGACAGCCTCTCTTTACATGGCAACTCCTATGGACCATGCTTACTTGAGACACCATCATTGGGATCTTGCCCCTTCGTGGAGTCTATCCTCAGACTTGATGTCTGTTCGAATTTCTCCTGCAACTCTTGATTACCTGCAATTGTGACTCCTCCATGAGTTTCCAATTTTAGTTTACCCTTTTCTTCTACTTCCTCTGGATATAATTGATGCCTCTCTATAGAGTTAGGGTGATGTGTTTGGGGACTGTCACTTTTCATGTGTGGTCTTTACATATATCCCATTCTCACATCATTCTGTTGGAACTTTGGACTGCTGAACATGAATGTTATGGGTTACTACCCTTGTTACACTACTCATGTGTTTTTAATATTCACAGAAAGTTCCACTGTGGTGGCATATACCAATAGGCAGAGAGGGACTTGATCTCACAGCATTTGTTTGCTGCAGTTTTTCTACTTATTTGGCTACATTCATGCCTTTCTTTGAGCTGGTATTTCATTAGCTATGCCAATGATTTGGTTATGTGATTCTTGATATATATGTGACAGCAGTGCATCATCTTCTGATGTTTCACTAGTTTTAATTTCTGGGTCCAGCTTCTTTAGAAGTGAATGCTTTGAATCTGTCATGTAAAAATTGTTTTTATGCCTCTTCTTCATCTTGTTTCTCAGGTATTGATCAAGAATCAGTTGATTCCATTGTCCAGTTCTTATTATTCCATGCTGGCCTGCTCCACCATTGTTGCTACTCCTCTCACGTATCTTCCTCAACAACATTTCTTGTCTATAGTTTTATGACTGGCTGTAATGTAGCCCTTTGTTAGTAAAGATGGTTTGTTTCTCTTCTTGGATAGCTGAAATGTTGACACATTCTTGCAGATGTTCTTCACTAGTAGTATACCATACCTATTGGTTAACTTCTAAACATACTGTTGGTGTGAACCAACAATATGTTTGATACTTTTCACTATGATATAGGTCCTGTTTAACTCTCTTTGATTAACTTGTGTTCAGGGTTACTGATAAGGAGTGGAATTCTCCGAAACTAGTATAATCCAATAACACACATTCATTAAAGTGTAGATTGAACTGGACCTCCTTTGAACTTAGGCTTCAAAATTAAACAATTTTCAGAATACTAAGTTTCTTTATTATTTATTGTTGGTTAAGTTACCTGGCTCTTCCTTTTGAACCCTTTGCAACTTGTTACTGTATCATCTTTCCTCGACAAATTTTCTTTTTGTTACTCGCATTTTTGCCATAGATGTTTCTTGTACCCTTTTTTTCAAGGAAGTCTCTATACTTATATCTTGATAAAGCCTTCCTACCAGAGACTTTAGCTGCAAGAGACAATCAGTACTGTTTTCTTTTTTCTGTTATGTTACCTGCTATGACAGACCCTGATTTTTCTGCTGGATCATGTTTTGTATGTCTGGTCAGAGTGGTTTGCTCCTATATTACAAAAATGGAATCTTTTTGAGGGGCTCAGAATTGGCTGTTTATACTTTATGATAATTCTCGTTTCACAGACTTTGCTTCATCCACTTTATTGAATGGGCCGATCTGTTTTGTTTATCATAATGTTTCTGACCACCTTAAGTGTGGACTTCAGGTTACATCTCATTACATTCATCATTGGCTGTATGTTTGTCTTCATGGTTTCTATACCCTTTAGTGGACATTTTATAGGCTATCATGGGGAAGAATCTGCATATTCTTTTGCTATTTTACCTTCATCACATTGCTTTATATGCAGTTTCAGGATTCCATTTTCCACTTGTGGTTATTCTCCTGGCTTGATGGATGGAATCCATATCTTGTGAGTTTTGTATATTTTGTTAACACCCTTTGTTAACTATTTCCAAGGTGTCTGGGATTGTAAATGATTTTGACTTCAAAACAAACAGTAGAAAATAATCAAAACAAAATAATCAAATACAGTTTTTTCTTATGAATCAAAAATTTATAATTATATTGAATTGTCAAGTCAGGACTTTCATACATTCTTTAATTTCTATGTTTGTCCTAGGAAAACCAAGTATTTCTGTGTCATCCATCACTCCTATTCATTCTAGGGGCATTAGAGGGTGAGAATATATTTGAATATTCAGAAAAAATAAATCGTGGTTCCTCCTTCTGTGAGACTCTGTACATGGATTTGTCTAGTCACAACTCTTGCATGCCTCATATATTTTTATGTTTGTTCTAGACAAAATTCCACTATCTATGCTGGAGCTCCTTGAAAGGGTGTTATCCTTTGGAAGTGGATAGAGGTACCATCTTGTGATTGATGTAGACTAGGGAGTGGTGGCAGACCTATCCCATTCCTGCATACATGTCCTTGCATAGCATTAGATATGTTGGAAATGAGACTACACATATTATTAGATGTCTGAGCTCCAACAAGGATAGGAATCATTGAAGTTTTACTATTTATTTATGTTCTGATGCTCCCATTGGAATGTCCTTACATTGTTGAGCCCAGTCTGCTTGGTTCTTTCCTCAGTTCTTCCTGAGTGCACATTAATTTGGCTTGTTATGTGACTCACTGTCCATTTTTGATGTGAATGAAGAGGAGTTACTGCCTCTGGAGTATATTCTTACATAATATGTGTCTGAGCTGCTCACTTGAGAACCTTTCAGCAGCAGGACATAGTATTCCTCCTGTCTGTTTACATTATCACCCGTGTCACATTGTTGGTTCCACAGATTCAATATGCTATTACTGCTCACAAAAACCTTTTGCCTGAACTAGAGGGTGTTGTGGTTGAAGAAGTATCATGCTGAGAAGAATGCCTTCTTTCTTAGTGTCCTATGAATAAGTTGTTTGTTTTGTATGGCTGGTTCTCTCTACTCATTTTCCTCGAATCTAGTTCTTTGAACTGTTTTCTGCTTCTGGATCTACTCCAACTGTGCTTGGTTACATATTTCTTATAGTCTATATTATTATTTTCCTGCTCTGTAGCTTATAGTTTTGTATTTGTATGTTTCTTTTTATGTTCATCATTTCCCACACACTGGCTTTCAGTATTTAAAAGGTGAGTGTACCTGACTTGAATTTTACATGTCTAGAATTAAAATGAATTTCAGACAGGTACTTACCTCTGCAATACCTTTCTTCCTGTCTCCTCAACATCAAATCTTCATGATGACTGTAACTTTCAATGAAATCTCAATTATGGCAGGTAAATAAAATTTATATGAGATCTGAAGCTTATAATAAGTCATGTGGAAGGTTGGAGAGTGGAGAATTATGGGTAAGTGATACATGCTGTGCAATACATAAAGGACATTTGAAAATTTGAGTCTCATGTTTTGTTGACAGCATGAGTTCAAACTCTACAAGGGAAAGCTTTGAGTATTTAGGAGGTAAGTACCTGTTTGAAAGTTAATTTAATTCCAAAAAGTGTAGCAAACTATACAAAAGATAATAACTCTGTATGTAAATGATGCCACAATTATAGTTCATTTTTAGAACTAATTGGATAAGAATTAACTTATGGGCATATATATGTATTACACATTGACTAAATATATAACTATTCTTGATTATCTAATAACATTTACAATTTTCTGTGGAAATAATAAAATAGAATTAGGTTATATTACAATGTTTTTTCAAAATTTTTTGGCACGTGTGTAATGTTCAATCCTAAAAACTAAAAATTTTTAAAAAACAATGATTATTTTATACACAATTCTAAAAATTAGATTGTTTCCAGTCTCTAAGTTACTAAAATAATAAGTTACTGTACAAGGTTAAAAAGTGCTAAAAATCTCGATGAGACTGGAAAACAATTTCATACACTCTACATGCTTCGAGGTATACTCTTGCGTCATCCTCAGGAGTGTAATGTTTTGCAAAAAATAACACTTATTTATACAATTATTAACCCACCAATTTACATATTAAAGAATTTCATGCCATCTGCTAACAACATTTCCATTAGGTCCATCATCCTTATTCAATAATTTAAATTTACTTTTTTTTTCATTTAATTATCTCAGTAGATTCTTGTATATTCATACCAATTACGTTTCCAGGCTGTGCTAAAATAATGTATTTGAAATAAATTTATTTTATTACATGACTCTTTCCACCAATCAATTTACTTTAAAGGTGATATAAGTTGTTTTGCTGTATTTTGTTCTGAAAATCAAAAGATTTGTTAAATAAACAGTTTAGACCAGAGTAGATAATATTTTTATGTGGAATTTAACTGTTAACAAATGAAGCATTTTATGTTGTCGTGTTTTTATTATTTTCAGGATTACTTAGTCCTGACACTGAAGGTGAGTAGATTGTCAATATAAAAGATCCAAATAACAATTTGTACAGAGTGTAATTTGCAGTTTATATTATGCACTTTACAACATACAATGTATTAACATGTTGTGGGTTTATGTAGAATAGTTCCATAGACTATATTGAAGAAATAAAACTATAAGAAATAACACGTTAATGCATTTATACTTTCACAACTGGTTGTTATAAACAAGTTATGCATTGCAAAGTTAAAATTTTACCTTGCAAGACGTTGATAAATCACTGATACTACATATTTGTTAACAATTCTCACACACTGATGGAATAGAAATCTCAACCACTACTTCATAAACAATTTTAAAACTAAACTTCTCTCCAGATCATTCTCACTTTGTAGGATGATAATTTTACATAATTTTCACAAGGAAATTTGCTGATTTTGTAAAACAGTTTTGACTAGGCTTACTGATCAAAACTCAAAACTGTGAATTACAGTTTTCCAAAATTTGTAACACATAACTATATAATAATCAAGCAATATTTATGTCATAAAACACAACATTTATTTCAAGATTTTGTTCAAATGAATTAATCTCTCTTTTTTTTCTACAATTACTACTTTAACTTGAAGTGATTTTAAACATGAAAGTACTATGTAAGTGCCATATTTGAATAAATACTGAAGCTCATTTAGAAAATATAGTAGATTTAAAGCTTATTTTAATAAACAATTAGAGGACCCAGATTTTTACAATTTGAATTAATATAGTACATTGCTTTGTGTGTTTAAATTTGTAAATTTTAACTTCCAAAACAGTACTACCACTTCCCTCCCTTAGCTGTATCGACCTTCATTTGCCCTCTAGGCATTGGTAAATCTTATGAACAGTGCACCAGTCTTTTATACCTCTATATTTTTTGCATGATTGCAGCAATATGTGCTGATCATGTGACCACCCTCCACCAATCCCAATGCACCCTCTATACTAGAGCAGGTAGTTCCATCCACCATTGCAGCACAATCCTCACTTTCTCAATTGGCACGACAGTATTCAGATGTGTGTTTTCAGTTGTTCTTCAAGCAAATTTTGCTACGTTTTTGTGTGTTTTCTTCCTAGTTTCCACTTTTAGTTTGAATTACTTGTTCATTTAGTAGTTCCTTTACTATTGTTTTTTAAAGTCCACATGCACTTATGAATTCGAATTTTCATGTGGCAGATGAAGAAGTTCCTGCCAATATGAACAAAACTCGTGTCACTAGACCCCAGCGTGGTGAGTTGCCGATGTCGGTCGAGGAGATTCAGGCATTAGTTCAGCAGGAGTTAGATGCTTTTGCTGCTTCTTCTGCTTGTTCTCAGGAAGGATCCAGGGCCACGCTTCTAAGGAAGTTTTGTCAGGGGGAGTACAATTTTGACTGAGTTTTTCCTGCCCCATTTTTTTTTGGCCAGTCACATAATGTTGACAGTCAGGAGAGTCTACCTTTCTTATTGATCAGGTTTGTCAAATTTTACATGTCCCCCCTTTAGCCCTTGATTCTTCTACTTCTTCCTTTCTGGGAGAAGAGCCTCATTCCGATTATTTTTTTTTCTTCTCCCTCTTCTGACATTTTTGTTTAAGCTCAACTTTTTGCTGCTCAAGTACAGTAGGAAGTAAGTATGCCTCATCCCTCTTGGCATTTGAACCAATGCTCTTTTGCTTACCAACATGCCTCAAATCCCTATTTGAATTCTCAGCATTTATATCCTCTCCTTCCCTTGTGGGGTTCTAATCCTAATGCCTTGGTTCATTTTAATAGATCTCAGTTTACTACTATTTGCATTACATTAACCAATCTTTTACGTGTTCTTTCCTCTTTACAATTGTTGTCTCAGGCCTTCCACCAGTCTCCTGATCAGTTCTCCCAATCTCTGGACTCTCCTGTGGTCTATTATGGTCTGGTTGTCAGCTTCAGCCTTGTCCCTGACATTTGGATTTTGTGTTGTTGGAATTTACTTGGGAGGGATGTGTTACTTGTAGGTGTGTGTCTCCCCCTTTTGTCATTACAGGAACTTCGTCAAGCCCCGTTTCTGTGTGAAATGGTCTTTGGGGGTCTTCCTGAATCTGTGGAGTCCAGGGTCAATGTGGCGAGATTGCATTCTTCTTTGTTCTCCCTTCCTTCTCATTTGTTTCACCCTACTGATTCTGCTCAGTCTTTGCCTGTTCGAGTGCCTGTGCTCCTTCTTCTTTGCCCTGCCCTTTTCCCCTACTCCCGATGTTCCCTTCCTTACACCCATTATTCCTGTTCCCATTCCTCTCTGCCTCACCATTATTGGTGATGGGATGTCTTTCCATGGACAGGTGGGGACCAGGTTACAACTCTTTTCTACCATCTGGAAACCCTTCATGATTGATCCATGGGTGTTATGGGTTATGTCAGAGAGTCTATTCATTCAATTCCTGGCCCATCCACTCCTGCCCTCTTTCCTGGTTTCTTTTTCTCCTCCTTTGGATTGTGTCTTGTCCAGTCGTCTAGTGAAGTCAGTTCTCGATCCTTCTCTGAAGGGTGCTGTAGTGTTGCCTGTTCATCTTTGTTTTTACTCCCGTCTGTTTGTTGTCCCCAAAAAAGACAGGAGATTGGAGACCTATTATCAATGTATCCTGGCTGAATGCCTTTCTGAACACACCCCAATTCACCATGGATTCATACTACCTCTCTCTTTGGTGTATTTTCTGCTTGGGTCTTTGGGTGATCCAATTCGATGTGACAGATGCTTACTTTCATATCCCCATTCCTCAAGAGTCATGTCGTTATCTTCCGTTCATCTACAGGGAAGATGTGTTCCAGTTCTTTGCACTACTGTTTGGTCTTGCCTTGGCTCCTTATGTGTTCTGTCGGGTTGTGTTGACCATGCCTTTGCATGCCATCTTCATTCATTGGGTCTTCAGACTCATCATTACATGGACGACTGGTTCCTGCTTGCCTCTTCCTGAGCTATATCTGCCAATCACACCCGATTCATTCTTTGTGAGTCTGCTCGAGTGGGGTTTCTCATCAAGGTGGAGAAGTCCTTTCTCACTCACACTCAATGTCTCATTCATTTGGGGGTCCTCATCAATTCCTGTCTTGGTTGGGCCCAACCTTCTCCACTTTGGGTCCAGGTTATACAACAAGCAGTCACTCGGGCTCTGTCTTCACCTTCTCTTTCTGCTTGAGAGGTTCTCTCTCTTTTAGGGATGTGGGCCTCCCTGGAAGGCCTCATTCCCTTGGGTCGAGCACACATGTTCTCTTCAGTGGATGCTTCTTAACCAACAGAACTTCTCCCACAATCTCTTGGATCATCTTATTACCTTTCCTCAAAGGATCAAGGCCAACCTTGTTTGGTGGCTTAACAGACTCTTACCATGGGGCTCCTCTTCCCCCACATTGTCCTGACTCACATCTGTTCATAGATGCTTCTTTGGTGGGTTGGGGGCTTCTCTCAACTCTTGAGAGATTTCGGGTCAGTGGTCCATTGAGGAATACACTTACCATATCAACCACTTGGAGCTGTTTGCGGGTCTGTTGGGCTCTCACTCATTTTCTCCCACTTTTATGAGAGTGGGTGGTTATGGTTCATTCTGACAATTCAACTGTCTTCAGTTATATCTCCAAACAACGGGGTACCAACTCCAGGACCCTGTGTTTTCTCACACTCAACCACATCTACAACATCACATCCTTGTCATGTCATATTCTGGGTGTTATGAATCTGGTTGTAGACCATCTATCCTGCCCCAACTAAGTTATTCCTACCGAGTGGTCTATTTATCTGGGTTTTTTTCAGTGGGGGTGTTCTTGCCTGGATGTGCCTCATATTAAAGTGTTTGCAACCCATTTGAATGTCAAACTTCCTTTGTTTTGGTGTCCTGTCCTGCTCCCTTCATCTCTGGTGGTGGTAGATGCATTCAGTCAGGATTGGAGGGGCCTTCATCTCTATGCTTACCTTCTGATCAGACTCCTCACTATAGTTCTTTCTCTCATACAGACCACTCCTTGCTGTATGTTGCTAGTTGCTCTGTATTGGCCTGCTCAGTCGTGGTTTCCTCTACTTTGGCCTTTACTGGGGCAGCAACCCCTTCCCTTACCTCTGCTCAGGTGTCTACTCTGGCAACCTCAGTTGAATGTGTTTCGTCCAGATTTCACCAAACTCTGTCCTCACACATGGCTTTTGTCCAGTCCAATGCCTCCTCTCAGAGATTTACTACCTGTGTAGTTCTTTGTTTACCCAATCCATACATCTTTCCTCATTGTTCGTGTATCAGCATTGTTGGTCTACCTTTCACCAGGGGTCCATTCGCCTAGGATTCCGTCCTTTCCTTCCTTGAGTTTGTCACTTGTCCAGGTTCTTTACCAGGTTATTTGATCAAGGTTTGTCTGCATCCACTGTTTCTAGTTGTCATGCTTCTCTGCCCCACACCTTTTGCTTCTCCCATTTTCAAAGATCCTTCACCTCCTCTGTTATTTCTATTCTTTTCCATTCCTTTCATATTGTTCATCCACCCCATCCATTTAGGCGGATTGGGATCTCATTGTCGTTTTTCATGCTCATGACCATTCTCCTTTCGAACCTGTTGCTATGTGTTCTTTGTACCACCTTTTCCTTAAGACCTATTTTGTTCTCCTTCTCACTAGTGGTCGTTTTTATGCTATTAATGTTTCCTGTATTCTTTACCATGCTTCTTAGGTTCTCCTTTAACCCATTCTTTCCTACCTTCCCAAGACCGTCAGCTGTTTAATGTGTCTTTCCACCAGATGCGCCATGTTACTTGGTCTTTAACTGCTCAGGTCCACTATCCTTTGGAGGAGATTGTACAAGTGGGAATGTGGAATACTCCCAACATGTTCATTGCACATTATTTGCATCATATTGCTGTATCCTCCTCGGTCTGGTATCTTCTTCCACCTGTGGCAATTTTCCACACATCTGTTTGCCTTTAGCTGGGATAAGTTGACATTTTGGTTTCACTTATGCAGAAAAAGTTGTTTTCCTTTGCATTTCTGCTTGGTCAAGTATGCTGAATTGTTTTATACTACCATTTACTCTACTTCTTTCTAATTCTCACTATGGAGATGGGGTGTTTCTGTAAGACCACTGGATGCTTTTCTGGTGGTGTATCTATATCTATATCTTGAGAACTGTCACTCATGGACTTCATGAGTAAAGCAGATAGGGATTTTTGCCCATCTCTACTGACCCGTGATTTTTACAATCTGGGTCTTTCTGCTTTTGAAAATAGGGAAATGCAAACACCCATTGCACTATCTCTGGTGAATTGCTCCTCCAGACCCCCTAATGTATGCCCCCTCTTTCTTCCAGTGGAGCACGATGATCCTTCCTACTTCTGGTTCCCAGTCACTGGAGTAATGGACCATGGAGGTTTCCTCACAAATGGGTTTTGTACAATAACAAAATATTGTGCCCATATGTACCCACATGATGAGAAGAGGGCTGTTGTTGTTATGCTGTCTATTATACACACATTATGGCACTATGTCTATTATGCAAGGTGCTTCCACTGGATTGCTTCTGGCCGGATGGACTGCATATGACATAATCCAATATATACCAAGGGGCTTCCCCCGGATGTTTGTGCCTGGGTGGACCTCACTTGGCTATCTTGACATTAATCCAAGGCGCTTCTTATGGATGTGTTTGCCTGAGCGGACCACACTTGTTGGTTTCTCTATCATTGTTATGCTGCATATTACACATACAATATGGCACGAAATCTCTTATGCAAGGTGCTTCCTCTGGATGTTTTTGCCCAGATGGACTGCACTTGACATAATCCAATGTATACCAAGAGGATTCCCCCGGATGTTTTTGCGTGGGTGGACCTCACTTGGCTATCTTGTTCTAAATCCAAAGCTCCTCCTCTGGATGTTTTTGCTGAGGCAGACTGCACTTGTTGATTTTACAAACTTATGTAAGGTGCTTCCATGTTGTTTTTGTCCTTGGACTGCATTTGGCATAATATGCCACATCCCAAGACACTTGGGAGATTCATATATGGTCCTCTAGCCCTATTCACGTATTCTCTTCATTTCTGCCCTATGTGTCTTATCTTCTTTACTGGGTGAAGAGCATACCTGTTCCAGAAGTAGTGCTATACCCCACAGGTGTGCCTCATATTTTAATAGTGGCATACATGCTTTTTTTCATAGGGGTCACTCTCCACTTGATTATTTGTTTTTGTGCCTTCACTGACCCATTCAACTTTCCAATGTGAGATTCTAGCTATGGGGGAACGGAGGTTGTACCGTTTTGGAAGCTAACATTTTCTAACACTGAAAATGTATTTCCAATAGGTACTTACCTCCTCTCACCCACCCTTCCTCCCCACTGATTTGTCCGTGTTTTTGGGTTTGTATATGCCAATTCTCAAAAGTGAGGATTGTGCTGCAACGGTAGTATACAGGGTGCAATGGTATTGGTGGAGGGTGGTCACATGATCAGCACATGTTGCTGCAATGGTAGTATAGAGGGTTCAATGGGATTGGTGGAGGGTGGTCACATGGTTAGCACATGTTGCTGCAATGACACACAAAATATATGGGTATAAAAGACTGGTACACTGTTCATAAGATTTACCAATACCTAGAGGGCAAATGAAGGTCAAGATAGCTATGGGTTAGAGGAGGTAACTATCTATTGGAAATACATTTTCAGTGTTAGAAAATGTTAACATTAACCCAAATTCACTAGCTCATCATTAATCAAAGGTACCTAGTCTGTGGATTAGGCTGAGAATAAAAATGTATTGTGTTTAAATTTTTTAATCCTTATAGTTATTCCAAATTCCCCTATTATATTATTAATTTCATTAAACAACTGTAAAATTTAATTTTGGCCATTTTGAAAACTATATTATTTTGTTTTCAAATTCATGATTTAACATTATTTTAGCATCATTATTGCATCATAATGTATTAGCTACTGTAGGACTGAATCATGTTTATTTTGAAGAAAGTGTAAGTCTTGCACTGAAACTTGTGAATCTTAAAATTTAAAACAATTAACCATTACAAAATCTAAAAATAATTTGTATTTATAACAAATGAATAGAACTAAAAAGATTTAAATTAGTTTATCATTTATTCTTTGAAATAATAAATATTTTTGTAAATTGATGTATACATTTCATTTTTACATGATTTTACAAACATTTGCTCATGAAAAATTATATTCCATTGTTTCTGCATCATAAATTGGTTAAGTATTATATTTAACTGTCCAATTATTGTTCTTTCTTATAACTGAAGTACAGTATATCCAAATTTATTGAAGAATAATGTAAGCAAAGTATTACCAAATTTTCTACATTAAAAAACTTGCTGGCTAAATGTGTAGGTCTTTGCTTATTTTTGTAATATGGATTCATGAAATCTTTCAGTTTAGAGAATATGTTTCCATAAGGTCACTGTGTTCTTATTTACTAATAGAATTTCTTGAACTTTATGTATGAAAACTATAAAATTGTATGTGACTGTATTTTAGGCATTTTGTTTATAAATATTAGTTTATTTGTATTAAAAAAAAAATTAAAGAAAGGTTAAAGGTTATGTTTTCTTTATGCTCCAGGTCTACAGGAGATGGAGACAACTTTTAAAAATCTTGTTGCATCCTTACAAGTGGCATCATACAACATACTAGATCACAGAAATCTTGAATTTGAAGAAAGCCTTATGGAGTTTTTTGCAAATATAGAAAAGATAAAGGTCAGACAGACATAATAATTTTAATTGAATTTTTTTGAACAAGTACGTTTAAAGATCTTGGTTTGTCAGATATCAGTATTGTTCTTTTAAATTTTAGGAATATTTGAAATAATAAATTTGTTGAAAATTTTGTCGAGACAAATATAATTACTTTCTTTCAAGCATATTGAAATAAAACTTTAGATAAAAATGGTAATACAGGGACTGTTCATGAAAGTATGTTAATGGATATAATTTATTTTAGGAAAAAAAAACAATCAGTTAACAGATGGCTTGTAATCAGTTAGTGCCTAAACACCTGTTTATTTCATAAAAGAAAACAATAAATATAATCTTCTTAGACCATAAATGAAATTAAAAATGTTTATATATATTAGCATTCACACACCACTTTATAAAGCAAGCTCTTCTAGAAGTCATTGCTTAAGAGAGAAGTAATTTGCTGTAGTAAACAATCTTTGTTTCAAAATATTTATTGATTTTTCTTTCTGATTTTACATATTTTTACAGCTTTACCTTACCTCTTTCATGCTTCAGCTAATAACCATTTTATCTTCTTTCTTTCAACTATTCTTTCCAGTTGTTTTTTACTTTTGGATGAAAAAAACTGACATAATATCTGAGGAAAAATCTTTTAAGGTTCTACTTAGTTGTGATAAAAGATTAAGCTTCATGATGGTAGGATACTGCTATGTTCTGAGACAATACACACCTCTGTTAAACTATCTTTTCCATGTGTCTGCCTTAGATGTTTACATGCCACTAGCCCTTGGGCAATTCCCACTTAATTTTACAAAATTTCTCATGAATTTTGTTATTGTGTAATGATGCTACAATGCAGTAAAAGCCCTCCATCAATAGGAGGGTGACACACCTCCTTGTGCACTAACTGGTGCTTTTGCACTCATAAATCTTCATTCTTTTCCTTGGCACTGAACACATCAGACATGTTTTTTCTTTTTCAGTTTAATTAAATTTGCAATGTTTAGGGAACTTAACTTCCTTCTTTTGTTCTACAAATTATGAACTCACCCACTACTTGTGTGAGTGAATAATTTCCTCACACAGGTTTTTTACATTATTTGGATTTAAATTTTTTTCTCTTTCTCCTGTGTCATATTATTGTTCTTGTTCCCTACTTCTTAATCCTATCTCTAACTAATTTTTGTTTACCTTTTTCATAACCAACTATGTTTCTGCATTCTCAATCCTCGTCCTCTCCATCTGTGTGATTCTTATATCCTCAGTTTCAGTCATTCTGTCTACATCTAAAGTCTGAGGCACTCCACCAGGCCCCAGAGAATTTTCCAGATGATTCTTTCCAAGTTTTTCTTTACTCCCACTCAATATTTTATTCACTCATTTCACAGTTGTGCTCAGCCTTCTCCTATCTGTCTGTAAGCTTTGGAACTGCTAGTCACCAGGTTTTGTGCCTATCCTACTCTTACTTTTGTGAGAGAATTTTAGCTTTTGGGGACCATGGCTTCACTGGAACTGTTTATCCCTTTGGGTCATATACGTATGCACCTCCTCTGTTTTTCCTTGTGTGACGAGAAGCACCATTCAAGGGAACCTTTGATCTCAATGGTTCATTTATCTCCTCTTCTACTCAAAGATTTGTATTGGTGGCTGGACCAATCCAATATTACCATTGGTGTTCCATTACCTCCACCCGCACTGGACCAATATCTCTTCACTGCTGCTTTCCCCTCTGGTAGGGGGGAACCACTGAATGAAAATATCACATCAGACACATGGTCCCAGGATTAATCCTCTCACTCCATATTAATGCAATTGAACTTCTAATAGTCCATCAAGCATGCTGCCTTTTCTTAACTCTCCCAGTAGATCATTTCAATATGAACCATTCTGACAACTCCATGGTTTTTCCTATATCAACCACCAAGGGGGAACCGTATCCAGGATCCTTTACTTTCAAACAGTGGACCTTCCTTATTGGGAAGGGACAATTCTTATCGCCTGCCATTTACTAGATGCTATGAATCTGGTCATACTGTGTTCTGTCCATGGAATGGTTTCCTTACCCCGGGTTTTCTGTTGGGTGTGCTCTCTCTTGGGGACTCCAGTCATCAATGTCTTTGTCATTCTTCATATTTCCAAGCTTCCTCTTTTAATCACATGTTCCCTATTCCTAGGCCCTGGCTGTTGATGGTTTCAGCCAGGACTGGTCTCATCTTTTTCATTAGGTTTACTCCCTTCTCCATCTTTTAACTCAGGTCCTAGCCTTGATTTGAGACACTCTTTGTTGTTTCCTCATGGTGACACCCCTTTGGCCTGTTAAACCTTGTTCACTCTTCCCCTACTAACTATACTCTCTCTCTCTTGCTTCAACCTCACACCTCTGTTACATCAAGGGATCTTGTCCCTCCATCATGATGTTTGGGATTTATTCAGGCCATTGCCCATTGAAGACCTTTGAATTGGGTAGCCTTTTTCCTTTCTCATTCTTTTTGTCAAATTTACCTTATCCATCTACCAGCACTCTTTATACATATGTGCTCTCCTCCTACAAACATCACTTGTTCAGTTGAGTAAGGTGAGCAAGCACTAATAAACCATGTTCTCCTCCTATATTTGATGTTTATTCAGTAGAGTCAAAGTGAGTACACTGTCCAATTGTGCCCTCCTCCTGCAGTCATCTCCTGTTCAGTTGAGTTGAGGCAAACACACATTAACAAATTGTGCCATTCTCCTGCAGCTGATGTCTGTTAAGTCAAGTCAAGCCATGCACACACACTGTGGCATGAATTCTGTTCCTTCCTCTTGTAGCTGATGTCAGTCCAATAAACTGACAGTAGAGTCGAGGTAAGCACAACGTATGATTTGAATGTGCTCCAATCATGCTACATGTATTGGCTCTCTGACATTTTGTGTGCAAGTACTCAGATGACCATGTTCTTATTCCACCCATCCCTGCAACACATGGAGCTCATTTACCTCTTCTTCCATTTTACCTGGGTGAAGAGTATACCCTGGAAGAGAAGAGATGTAGTCTCCCACAGGTGTGCCTCTATGTAGCCCCTGCAATTAGGTGTCACACTCCATTGGTATCCTTTGGCCACTTTCTGAAGGGAACTCATCTAAGTAAATTTTTGCACTGGCCCCTCCACCACTTCAACATAGGATTCTAGCTTAACTGTGTGTAGAGGTGTGTATCATCTTGGAAGTTAATATTTTCTTTACCTGAAAATGTATTTCCTATAGATACTCACCTCTAGACACACATTCCCACCTTTCCTACCCACTTATGGTGCACCTTAATATTTATTGCCTCATTAAAGAATGAAGATTCATGAGTGTAAAGGCACAGAAGGAGTTAGTTTGCAAGGAGCTGTGTCATTCTCCTGTTGGTGTGAAGTTTTTTGCTGCATAATAACCTCATTATGCAGTAGCATGTGAAAAATCTTGTAATATTATGTGGCAGCTGCCTAAAGGCTAGTGGTATGGAAACTTTAAGGCAGACACACAGAGAAGATAGCTTAACTGTGTACAGAGGTAAATATATATTGGAAATACATTTTCAGGAAAAAATAATTTTAACTTTCACTCTTCCATAACAAATGAAAAATATACTGATGTGCAAAAGATATATACCAAAGATAAATTTGTCTTATTTTGATAGTAAAACAAGACAGCAATATCAAACAAAGTATATTTCATAGAAAAATCAATGATCAATGCATTGTTAAGATGTCACATTTGTGGATAGTTTACAAATTGAAATGATCACTGTCAATCCCATATAGGGTAAGATTTGCAATTAACACAAATGTGCACTTACACAAAAGTTTATCCATTTCTTCATAAGTTTTCTTATTTGCTCTTTCATCCATCCATTCCCTGAGAAAATTAATCTACAAGTAAACAGTGTAGGTTTATAACTTTATGACTTGTTATCTCTTACAGATAAGATTTATCAATATATTGGATGACCATTTTCAAGCTACTTCCTCTTCACACCAAGCCCTCAGGTTCCTGGCTCATGTGGAGAACCTACCATTAGATGGCATTCAGCTAGCTGATAAATACAAACAAATTCTTGTGAAGTACAACAAGGAGCTAGATTTAATCTCAGAAAAGTACCAGAAAGAAAGGCTGGATCCTCCAATTCCAAGAAATTTTGCTCCAATTGCAGGTGAAGGGGTGATTTTCAGTAGGACTATTTTACAATATGTACAAATTCACTATTACATTATTAATTCAAGGTAACATCTGCAGTACCCAATCTTGTGTATTTTGATGATGATATGATACTTATCGTATGTGGAAATCTCATCACATAATTTAGCATTGTTTTGTCACATTTGGGCAATTGAGTGGTTTAAACCACCATCCTCTAGTTGTACTTGGGAACGTCTTGTATGTCATCATTCGTTCCATTATTGTGATGTTAGGGAGTTTTCTCTAGTGTCAATCATTATACTTTTATTATATTTGCTTAATAGTTTATGTAGTGTCATCCCACATACTTATGTTATATCTCTATAGACTTCTCGTAGTATCTTCTTTGTTTTTATTTGGGTTTTTTATAATTGCGTGATATATTCCAAGGAGTAAATAGCCAGGAGGTAAGTAAATTATGCTTCACAGTAGCAGGAGATTCCTAGGAAATGTATGCAGAGTATAAATGAGTCAAATTTGACTAGAAGTATAGAGACTAAGATAGTTGTTTGAATTTTAAATAAAAGTATACTTTATTAAAAAAAAAGTCATGAAATGTATGTCTTAATTATAAGCAGATACAAATGAGAACATGATAAGTTTGTCAATTTAACTTGACCAACACAAAAACGATTTCTTGAAGCACTAGCTTTGCTTAGAACCATTCAAGTTCAAGCTTTGCTAGGACTTAACATAATGCTAGTTCACTCACATTAGAAGACTAAATTCATTATTTAAAAAAAAAAAGAGAAAATAGAGCATCCTGTACCTTCATATATGCTTAGCATGCCAGATGTCATGAAAAGCACTGGTCACATATACCTACACTGTACTTAACCATTAGTAACCATCCAAGGACAAGGTAAAATATCATTCACAACCATATACATCGTTTTTGCACAGAATGTCTAGCTAAGGTCTTGTAAATTATCTGAGTATACCTAAATAAAAATATATAAATTTTTTAATTAATTAATTTACAAACTTAAAACATAAACTCTTCTTTCAGTATCTTTCTTTATTTCCAGCAAAAATGAACATTTTTCATCAAATGCCTTGAACTAAAGTATGGTATACATTGGTCATTCACTAGAATTTTTATTTTATATATCATCTCCCAGTGGATCAGTGTTAAGTTTAAGGACTTGGACTGCTAAAGTTTGGGGTTCAATTCCCTGTAGTAGACATAGTGCATACAGTACATTGTATAGCTTTGGGCCAAAAACCCACACATAAACTGAAATTTTATATATTAGAACCTCCTTTGAAGATAAGAATAAATAAATATTGAACATATAAATTAATAGTGTATCATAGTTTCCTAAGACTAAAACCAGACCATGTTATAGCTACAGGTATTTGCAAATGTTACAAGTTATTTGAAAATAAATTTTATGCATATAGATGCTTTTTTTATCTTATATACCAGGAAAAATAAGCTGGGCTCGTCACCTATTCAAACGGATTGAGGAACCTATATTAATCCTAAAGGTGAAATATGGAATTCTCAAAACAGCAGAAGGAAAAAAAGTTGTGAAAAAGTACAATCGTGTTGCTCAGTGCCTTGTAACTTTTGAAATGATGTATCATCAGGCATGGCTTAAACAGGTTAGAATTTTTATATTCTGAAATAATATGCTTACCTCTCTTCACAAGGTAGCTATTATTTGCACATCCACCTTTGAGATTTTGTACACATCACTAGCCTTGAGCTATCTCTTACCTAAGATACTTTTTATTATGTGAACTGTGCTAGTGCATGATGTAATCATCATGTGACAATAACCCTCCACCAGTAGGAGGACAACACATCCTCTATGTGCAGTAGATCTCAATAAGTACTTGCACTTGAAATGAAATCATTCTTATCCTGTCTTTAACAGATGTGTTTCTTTAAGTTTAGACTTAATCAGTTTGTGAGGTTTGAACTGCCTTTTCATAGTGTTAACTTTTTATGGTCTTTTTTAGTTTTGTTTCAACTTCGATATCAGGCTACAATGACACTAAAAAATATTTGATAACATACAATAACTATGAATCCTCGAGTGACTGTGGCTATTACCTCTTCCTGAGGTTCTGGCAATGTTCCTAACACTACCTTTATTTGTCTGTGACCACTAGAGGATCATTGACTATGAAACAAATTATCACCATAATTCATTTCTCTCTCTTTACCTGTTGAGGATAATGTTCCTCCTCCAACTATCTTTGTGGATTTGGTTACTCAGGTTTGTTCTTTACTTTTCCTTTCTCCTATGTCTTTTGTTTCTTCCTGACTCTTACTACATGACTATCATGCTGAGGATTATTTGATTTTTCACCCTCCTCCAAGCATATAGGTTCATGTTGACACATTCCTGGATCAGTTTCATTCCCACTTTGAAATGCCTCATCCTCCTTAACTCCAGGATTCCTTTGCCATAGTTTATGGCCATTCTCCTTTCCTATTCTTCAATTCCCAATCCCTGGAATCCCTTCTGCCCACTTGAGGGACTGATCTCCTGTCTTCAGTAACACTCTCTAGTGATCAATTTTGCCGTCTTCACTTTTTTCATACCCATCTCTTTCGTTATCTACACTCTCTTTTTCTCCTATCTGAAGCCCTACAATGTGATCCTGACAGTTTTTCTGTGAATTAATGGACAGTCATTTTCAATACTTAGCCAGGGTTTCATCTTCTGCCTTGTACCAGCTTCCTTAGTTCCTCTGTTGTTGAGACCTTCTGTGACACCATGTTCTTCTTTCCACCGTTTTTCTTCCCCATTCTTACCTATGACTTCTGTCTGGCTCCATTTCTTCTCTCTGAAGTCTTTGGGGGTGTTCCTAACACATTGGAGACTCAAGTTAAGGCTGCCTGATATCAGTACTCTGTTTCCACCTTGGTTTCTTGTCTCTCACATCCTCATTAGTCCACTCCTGTTCTTCGGTTTCATGAACCTTCTACCTTCTTGTTTCTTGTGCTTCTGTCACTTCTCCCCATCCCCCTTTCTCAACACAGTTGGGCTCAGTCTTCCCCCAATCGCAAGAGTTTTTATCTCCTTTGGCAACTCATGCCTCTCTAGAACCTGCTTAAGCCAGATTCACATAAGGCTTCTTCAATGGACTTTGAGCAACCAATGGAAAATCTACCACAATATTTTGTCCTTTCTTGGGATGATGCCACCTTCTCTTTTCAAGATCTGTCTAGATGGTTGGATTATGCCAACACTACGGTCAACATCCAACTGATACCCTCTTCCCTATCCAGATCTCCATCTCTTCACTGACCCATTTCTTACAGGTTGGGGTGTGTCTCTGGATGACTAAAACTTTGGGGTTTGGTGTCCTGTGGAGCATACATTCCACATCAATTTCCTGGAACTCTTTGCCCCCCATTGAATATGTTCCTATTTCCTACTTCTTCTTGGAAATAACTTGGTTATGATCTACTATGATGATTCAATGGTCATTTTCCATACCATTTTTCAGGGTGGGACTCACTCTAGAGACCTTTGCTTCTGCACATTGGATTTCCTGTTTTGGGCCCACTCACATTGGGTTAGACTGACAACCTGTCATATCTTGGAAGGCCTTGAACTTGATGCCAGATTGACTCTCTCGACCAGACATGATTCTTCTTATGCATTGGTCACTTCATCATCAGGTATTTCATTGGATTTGTTCCCAGTTGGGCACACCAAGTGTCATCCCGTGCTTGCTGGTCAGGTTTCTCTGACTGCATAGCCCTTCTTTTACCTCATTCATGTCATCTTTGTACTCTCTCTCTGTCTATCAACAACAGTTTCACCACTGGCCCATCTGCTACTCTTTACTACCAGGCCATCCTACTATTGCCCACCTTTTGATCTTCTTTACCTGGTTCTTCTGCCAATGTTTGTCAGTTTCTACCATCATAGGCTCTTGGATAGCCTTGTTGGCTACCTTTTGCCTTTTTCATTATTGTTCTGTCTTTTCTCCCCTTTTCACTTTGTTCTGGTCTTTCTTAATTCATCATCCCCCCTTGTCTGATTTCTTTACCTGACTGAAACATTAATGTGGTTCTACTTGCTCTTACCCAGGCCCCATTTGAACTCTTGGCCACTTTTTCCTTACAATCTCTCTCTCTCTCTCTGTCTCTTAACTCTCTCAATACGGACTCAGTCAATTTGACTGACCACATGACTTTTTTTGTACTCTTTAAAGTTTTTATAGAAAAAATCTCAAATTTCCTTTGTGTAATCCCTAAAACCTCCTAAATGCATTTCA